GAGACATCATTTAAGAAAACACGTAGAAAGAGAACAGCTGGTACGTGTAGCGGCAGAACTGGGACCTGTGTTGGCTGCGTGTTTCAGTAACTGAAGGTTTAAAGCCATTTTTATATGTAAGACAACTGATTCAACTTTGGTTTCCTTTCTTCTTTTCCACTTTTTTAATAGTCGATCTGCATTTCTGTGTTTTCTGTTATATTTATAATGTTACTTTGTATATAGCTCATAATAAACAGCTCTGAGTCAAAAGCTCAGGCTTCATAATGTTCTAAACACTGTCTCAGATATGTCTTCTACTCCTGGCTCTGTGTGATGATGCTGACTATCCCTAATATGGTATCTATTTAAGGTTCTCAGTCATCCAGATCATTATAGACTTAAATAATAATAAGAGAAGACATCTGGATTTTTAAAACCTAAAGAAGTCCAGTTGCCTTCCTTTTTCAAGCTCTCAGGACTCCCTAATATGGTCATCAGAGCACTGGTTGAGAGCACTGAAGCCCCGCCCACTTGCTGTTTAAACCTGTTTGCAAGACATAGCCAGTCACAAAAAAGCTGAAGTACATAAATATAATTTAATAAGCAGTGTGTCCATGTTCATTCAGGTCAGTGTGTATTCTGGGAGTTGTTCCCATAATAAATTGAAATCTTCTGAAACTATTTATAATATTTCTCCATCGTTTCTTTACACTGTGTGCAACAGATCAGAGAAAACCAACACTGTGCATGCTGCTGTAAAAAGAATATGAGCCGCTAACATGTTAAGGTGTTTGAAACGGAAAGATTTTCCTGGTAGTTAGCACCAACAGCTGTAGAACATCTGTCGCAGTATTTCATAAATACTCAAACTGTAAAATATGAACATTGTCTACAGATGAATCACATTGTGAAATTGTTTCTTCTCTGAGTGTCTCCCTGCATGCAGAGCAGGGTAACGCTTCTGTCAGTCAGACACAGCACTGACGTCTGCATTAGAGTGTCAGTTAGATCCTTAGCAACACCGAGGTCTGCACAGATGCTTTGTGTTACAACATTACACAACTTCCCATTGATACAAACCAGCTCCATAACAGGAAACGTTAGCGGCTTCTCCAAACCATAAACAGAACCCTTCTGTTTGAATTTGATTCTATTCTATTTAAAAAGAAAAAAAGTTTATTCCTCATCATTGAGTGCGTCTGAAAATCCTTGAAGTCTAGCAATAGCAGCACTTTGAACAGGTGCGTTGGTGAAAATAGTCCCCACAAACAAAGGAGTCCCCCTGAGGATATGGCGGATGACTGTGCAGGAGCTCGACACCTCGATGTGAAAGCCCCGATGTCCCAGCTCACTGTCTGTTCGCAGTGTGGTTTCGCCCAATGGAGACGCAAAGAACTGTTGAGGAAAGGGGGGAAAATTCCATTATTAAAACAATATTGTTCTGTTTGTTGTCCTCAGTTTTCACAGCTGAACTACCAGAATTTGAGTTGACAGGAAGTTTAACGGGAAAAATCTCTAGAAATGTTACAAGGGAAAATACATTTTTCCATATTTTCCAAACACTGTAACCAAAAGGTTTATAAGCATGTGTGGTTTCACGTCATATTGTGTTTGGGCTTTCCCCACCTTACAGACAAGTAGTTCAATATAACATTTTTCTATCAAAGAAAATTAAACTAACGTAAGCTTCATTTATAGAATAAGTATATGCTTTGAGACAGTAAAGAACAGGGACAGTGAACACAGAATTACTCACTGCTGCTCCCGTTGTTGGGTCAATGAAGTCTGCCCAGTATCCTGCAGTCCACAGAGCGAAACACATCTCCTTTGCCCCGCTCACAAACTGCAGTTAGGACAAAGTCACAGTCACCAACTGCTACAACCTCTGAAGTCTGTAATGGGCAACACACGAGGACTTACTTTACTTAGCAGCTGGTCTCTATCCAGCTCTGTCTCCTTGTCCTCTGACCGACCGCTCGTCTGCGTGACCGTCACCACTGTGATGGAAACTGTGGGCGCCGAAGGAAACAACTGCTCCAGATCTGAGACACAGGGGCGCACGTATGTTAATAAAGCCAAATATAACT